CTGCCTGGCTCCCTCACTGGGAGTTTTTAAGAGTAAACTGAATATCTGTCTCTTCAGGCAGGCCTTCCCTCTTTCCATTACGTAATTTCTTCCCCTGGTTTTTGGCTTGTTTTAGTCTTTTTATTGATGATTTTAATTTTATTGCTTTTTTGGACTGTAAACCGCCCAGAGTAGATCCATCTAGATGGGCAGTATAAAAGCCAAACAAACAAACAAACAAACAAACAAACAAACAAATAAATAAATAAATAAATAAAATCAAAGTGTTATTCTACTGATACAACTGTGTAGTGCAGATCAACCTGCAGAGTACAAAGACTGATCTATCATTTTTATCGTCTTATGCTAAAAATTTGTGTGTTGTCATTTGTGATGGTAAAAATTTATTAAACTGTGTTTTCGGTCTTTTAAACTACAGCACCATCTCGACCAACTCAGCATGAATGCAGTCCTGTGATTTGTATGTCTCTTGGCGATTACAAATATCCTGATCTGCCCATATCAAGATACAAGGAAGAGGTAAATGCTGTTGACTTGTTAATCTGTGGCTTTGTAAAACATCACCGTGATGGTTTCTGTTCTGTCTACTAGCCAAACCTTTGGTTGTTCATTTGCTTTGAGTATCAGTTGTAGTTAAAAGTTTTTTTTTTAAATACATAAATGATGTTATCCATTACAATCTTCCTTTTTCACAAACTTCAGCTGTCTTCTTTCTCAGGGTTGTCTGTATGTGTTGTTGATTATCGCAAAAAATTATTAGTAGTGCCCCTAGTAACAGTAATAATAATTTCAAAAATATAGTACAATCTACAGCAGTGGTCCCCAACTTTTTTGGGTCCGCAGACTGGTTGGGGGATGCGGACTCTGTGCATGGAGGGGCGGGGACACCCCACACTCGCGGGTGGGTGTGTCACACTCGCAGAGGGGTGTGTCCCTCTAGTGCAACACACCCACCTGCAAGCACAACCATGCGGGCGGGTGGAGATCTGTCTCCGCAGCCCAGTTCCAAGAAGCCCGCAGACTGGGGGTTGGGGACCGCTGATCTACAGTACATTACAGAAGTGAGTACAGCCCCCACATTTCATAAATATTTTAGTATATCTTTTCATGTGACAACACTGAAGAAATGACACTTGGCTACAATATAAAGCAGTGAGCATACAGCTTGTATAACAGTGTAAATGTGCTGTCCCCTCAGAATAATACAACACACAGCCATTAATGTGTAAACTGCTGGCAACAAAAGTGGGTACTGTTGGCTGGGTGCCAGCTCCAAGAACAGATGTGGCATTTGTCTCTTCAGAAGCTTGGAGTCAGCGTTTGGGTATTGAAAAACCAAAAGCACTCTGTTGATGAAAGCAAACCTTGGAGCCCAAGATAACAGGTTAAACAGAGTCCCTTATCAGGCAGCTTCAAATCCTCCCTTTTAATAAGCAGAATAAAGACGTGGAGGGATTAGGAAAAAACACTGAGTTTGTTAAGAACTTATAACACAATGTATTCAGACTTCATATATCAGCATAGATCAGACATATATACTGTACATGGCATTATATACATTGTTTTTAGGCATCCTTCAGTCTTGAAAGACTATGGTAATTATATACATAACTTGTGCATAAAGCTCTTAGAGCAACATAGACATTTAAAAAAGTAAAGACCACCAGACTCACTATTGTGTGGCAATGTGTTGTTCCCTCTTCTATGCTTATATAGTAAGAGCAGCCTATCACTATTGTTCCCTCCTCTCTGCTTATATAGTAAGAGCAGCCTGTCACTATAGAGAATGCAGCTGAACATGGTTAACTAACACTACCTAAGTTTGTTCCAGCTGCATGCCATCAGTCATCCATTTTATATTGACTCTTACAGGCATGACTTTGCATTTGTCATCCATTTTACATTCACTCTACAATATTAAATTTAACCCCTTTTTCACTTATTTGGAACAAATCCTGACAGGTACACCCCTAAGCGACAATGTCCAAATTGGGCCCAAGTAGCCGTTTTCCCTCCCTGGTGTCATGAGACCTGTTAGTGTCACAAGTCTCAGGTGTGAAGGGGGAGTAGGTGTTACCGCTCTCGCTCTCTCAGACTGGTCACTGGAAGTTCCACATGGCACCTCGTGGTCATGAACTCTCTGAGGATCTGAAAAAAACGCATTGTTCTTCATCGTGGTCTTCTGTGAACGCATTGTTGCTCTACATAAAGATGGCCTAGCCCGTAAGAAGATATAGACCAAAACCCTGAAACTGAGCTTCAGCACGGTGGCCAAGACCATACAGTGGTTTAACAGGGCAGGTTCCACAGAGAAAAGGCCCCGCCATGGTCAACCAAAGAAGTTGAGTGCCCATGCTCAGTGTCATATCCAGAGGTTAGTTTTGGGAAATAGATGTAGGAAGGAGTGCTGCCAGCATTGCTGCAGAGGTTGAAGGGGTGGGGTGGGGGTCAGCCCGTCAGTGCTCAGACTGTGCGATACACACTGCATCAAATTGGTCTCCAGGGCTGTCGTTCCAGAAGGAAGCCTCTTCTAAAGATGATGCACAAGAAAGTCCGCATACAGTTTTCTGCAGACAAGCAGACTAAGGACATGGATTTCTGGAACCATGTCCTGTGGTCCGATGAGACCAAGATAAACTTATTTGGTTCAGATGGTGTCAAGCGTGTGTGGTGGCAACCAGGTGACAAGTGTGTCGTGCCTACAGTCAAGCATGGTGGCGGGAGTGTCATGGTCTGGGGCTGCATGAGTGCTGCCAGCACTGGGGAGCTATAGTTCATTGAGGGAACCATGAATGCCAACATGTACTGTGACATACTGAAGCAAAGCATGATCCCCTCCCTATGGAGACTGCGTCTCAGGGCAGTATTCCAATATGATAACGACCCCAAACACTCCTCCAGAACAACCACTCCCTTGCTAAAGAAGCTAAGGGTAAAGGTGATGGACTGACCAAGCATGTCTCCAGACCTAAAACCTATTGAGTGTCTGTGGGGCATCCTAAAACGGAAGGTGGAGGTGCACAAGGTCTCTAACATCCACCAGCTCCGAGATGTCATCATGGAGGAATGGAAGAGGACTCCAGTGGCAACCTGAGAAGCTCTGGTGAATTCTATGCCCAAGAGAGTTAAGGCACTGCTGTAAAATAATGGTGGCTACACAATATGTTGACACTTTGTGCCCAATTTGGACATTGTCACATAGGGGTTTAACTCACTTTTGTTGCCAGCGGTTTAGACATTAATGGCTGTGTTGCGTTATTTTGAGGGGATAGCACATTTACACTGTTTATACAAGCCATATATAGTGGTGCCTCGACTTACGACCATAATCCGTTCCAGAATATGGTTGTAAGTCAAAATGGTCATAAGTCGAGTCAGCATTTCCCATTGAAATGCATTGAAGCCTGTTTAATCTGTTCTGGCTGTTTTTTGGTTGTATGTAGAGGCACCGGTTGCAAGTTGAAGCGTTTGTTCCCATATGAACTAATGCAAAACCGGTTAATCTGTCATCTACCACTAGGGGGAAATTTTTCTTCTTTTAATCTAAGATGATTTAGGTTTAAAAAAGGGCAGAAAAGTAGGGAGGGAGGGAAAGACAATGGGGAAAAAAGAAAGAAGGTCATCACTGGGGCACACAGACCCCTCAGACAAAGGTTTGTGCTGTTAAGCACAAAAAGAGAGAAGAGAAAGAGAAGACAAGGGGGGAGGGAGAGAGAGTTTGGACTATAAAACACCTTGTAAACAAAACACCTTTTAAACCAAACACTTTTTAAACCAAGCACATTTTAAACCAAATGAAGCACCTTTTAAACAAAACATATTTTAAACCAAACCAAGCACCTTTTAAACCAAACCAAGCACCTTTTGAACACAGGACATTTTAAAACCAAACACCATTAAAAACAAAACACATTTTAAACCCACCCACCAACACCTTGTTCCAGCAAACAGACCCCTTCAGGACAAAAAGATAGCACAGATAGAGAAGACAATTGGGGGGGAGACTTGAATATAAACCCCATTTTACACCATGATTTTAAAACAAAAAGACTTTGGAGTCACATTTTAAACCCACACATTTTAAAACAAAAGAGAGATCAGAGTACACAAACCCTAGGAGCCGCAGAATGCAAAAATAAATAAATAAAATTTACATTTTAAAATTACAGTCTAATTTTCACATTTAATTTTAATTTAATATTACAATTTACATTACACATTTTAAATCCACACTGCAAGACCCATTCAGAACACAGAAACATAGCCCCCCAGCACAAAGATATACTACAATATTTATGAAATGTGTCAAGGATATACTAAAATATTAATGAAATGTGAGTGTGGGTGTACTCACTTCTGTGATATGTTGTATGTATATGGGAATTTATAACAAACAAGTGCAACGAACCCCGAGCACCTTACAGAGTAGAAGAGACAGAAGGAAATGAATGAGTGGGATGAGCCAACTGGAGCCCGGAATCTGCAGTCTGGCCCTTGATCCACTCTACATTCCTCAAGCCCTGTCAGAACTGAATTTCTGTCCATTTAGCTGTGATGCAGAGGCCTGTTTGAAGTACAGTGGTTCCTCGCTTAGCGATGTTAATCCGTGCAGTAAAAATCGTTGCTAAGCGATTTCATCGCTGAGCAATTTTAAAAAGCCCATAGAAAGGCATTGAAACCCCTTCAATGCGTTCCTATGGGCTAAAAACTAACCTTAAAGCGAAGATCCTCCATAGGGGTGGCCCTTTTCCGTGCCTTTAAAGCGAGGCAAAACAGCGGGCAGCCATTTTGTTTTGCGACAGCCATTTGGAAACCGCCGCTCAGCTGTGCGAGAATGGGGGCTTTGCAATGATTGCTTCCCCACGATCATCTCAAAGCGAATTTTCCCCATTGGGACCATCGCAAAGCGATCGCTCTTGCAATGGCAAAAAGTCCATCGCAAAGCGATTTCATCGCTATATGGAGCGATCGCTATGCGAGGCACCACTGCACACAGTATCCTTTTAGAAAAACCAAAAGTAGCTTGCTGTTTATGTCAGGTTTCTTTAAAAAGGCTGTTATGCCTCAAAACGGTGGTATATGTTGGGGAAAAAAGGGGGAAGATCAAATGTGCCAAATGGAGAAAGATTTTGTTTTGTCATTCTTCTAATGCGTCGTAGCTTGCGGTTTTGATTTAGTTTTTTTAATGTTTCTTTCATGCAGATCCTTTCCTTGATAGAGTGCAACTCGGTAGTAGTTGTGCGTGGATCTACCGGCAGTGGCAAAAGTACTCAGCTTCCTCAGTATGTCTTGGATCACTATGCGCAACGTTCAATGTACTGCAACATCGTTGTTACCCAGCCTAGGAAAATTGGTGCCAGCAGCATTGCAAAGTGGATTAGCAAACAGCGGTCATGGCCCCTAGGAGAACTTGTGGGTTACCAGGTAGAGTATGTTGAGATGAATTAAGTACCGTAGTAATGGTTTGTAGAACTATGATGTTATTTCTGTAATTTCACAGGGCAATTTTAGAACTTTTAAGAAAAGACCCTAATTTTACATTGCATGCATTCCGCCTCCCCACCCCCCCGGCTATAACAGCTTATTTGATACGAGTCGGGTAAGAAGCAGTGGACAATTATTTTAAAGAATCTCCCAGACTAGTCCCTCTTCTATATGGCACTGTTAATAGAAAGGCAGGCTGTTGTTGTTTTTTTAAAAAAATCATCATTAAAATACATCATTAAAATAAAATACATAATTAAAAAAACAACTTGCTTGTTTATCAATTCTTTGGATTGTGGGAATAAGAATGTCATGTTATGTCCATAGTTTTCTCAGTGTCTTCTCAACATGTTTGAAGTGAAGTGTGTTTTGTTTAATAATGTTTTTAGATTGGTTTGGAAAAAGTTGCCTCAAGCGACACAAGACTGATTTATATGACAACTGGGCTTCTCCTTCAGAAAATGGTTCAAGCCAAAAGCCTCTCAGAATTCACCCATATCTTCATAGATGAAGTAAGTTTGGTAAAAGAAAATACTGGCTAGAATCCTATTGCGTCAGTCAAAGGGCATACATTGCAGTGGAGAACTCCCACTAGTTAAGCTGTCAATTCTCGCGTTCCTCACTGCATACCTGGTGTACTAAATAAAAGCATGGATTTTTTGATTAGGAGCAATTTGCTCCTCTGATTAAATCCATATGACTTAATGGTGGTGTGCTACAATAATAGCATACTGACCATTGTACAGTGGTGCCTCGCATTACGACATTAATTCATTCCAGCGAAATTGCTGTAGAATGAAAATGTCGTAATGTGAAATTAAAAAACCCAGAAACACATTAAAACCCGATTAATGTGTTCCTATGGACTTGAAATTCACCGTCTAGCAAAGATCCTCCATAGCGTGGCCATTTTCGCTGCCCGTGCAGCGAGGAATCCGTCCCAGAAAAGAGCGGGGAGCCAATTTTTGTACCTGGCAGCCATTTTGAAACCGCTGATCAGCTGGCCAAAAATCTTCGTTTTGTGAGAATTGGCTCCCGAAGCAGGGAACCGATCATCGCAAAGCGAAAAAGCCCCATTTAAAACATCGTAAAGCGATCACTTTTGCGATCACAAAAAGTTCATTGTGATGCGATTTTGCCATTAAAACGGGGCGCTCGTCTTGCGAGGCAACACTCTATGAGTACTTCAGTCCCTGGCCTGCTTATCTAATGATTTCGCCGTTAAACAGGGCGCTCGTCTTGCGAGGCAACACTATTAGTACTTCAGTCCCTGGCCTGCTTATCTAATAAATGCATTCCACTAGATGGGACTTACTTCTGAGTCAGAGGTTGGAACACTAGTAGAACAGACTTAACACATTTCATTAATCATTACTGAATTTAAAAAAATGTGACACATGTATGTCAAACTTGCTGCTATTTTTATTTTCATTTTATTTTTAGTTTCATTATTGCTTTGGTGCCTTTCGTTTTCACATCTTAGTTTGCTATATGGTTTTATTATACTGTATTATTTTGATTGTGAATTTTACTGTGAACCGCCCAGAGTAGTGCCGTGACACTAATGGGAGCAGTAAGTAAGTGTAAGTAAACAAGTAAATAAGTGTTGGACGGGGAAAATCAACATATTGAGTTGTGTCATTGTATTGTTCATGTTGCTTTTAGAAACCATAACTGATGCCTGCTGTATGAACCACACTCCCTTAGAAAAAAAAGATTGGTCTGCAATTCCAGTTAGTATCATGCACTTGGGTCTAGCCGTCGGTGATTTTTCCCAACACTCCTGGAACAATCTAATGTTAAATTGAAGTGGTGGCTAGACTCAGGCCAAGTAACCTATTGAGTGTTGAGAACATAAGATTGCCAAAGCAGAAAGTTTTAACATCCTTCCAGTTTGCAAATTATCTTACTTTGTTTTCTGATTGATCTTTTTTTTCCACAAAGGTCTAGTTGGATCACATCTCTGGAACATGGATGGATTTAGTAGTTTGGCCCTCGGTCCCCTGACCCTGTGTGGTGCATCGGTGCTATTCCCAGCTATTGCCTCCCAGTATTGTTTGCCAGGCATAAACATTTCATGGAATACAAGGTTATCTGTGGCAACTAGTCATGTTTGCTTTCTATAACCTCCAGTATTGTAGGTAGTATGCCTGTGTGTCAGTTACCGGGGAATCAAAGCAAGCGGTTCCTCTCGTGCTCTTGCCCTGCTTAAGGGCTTGCTGTAGACATCTGGATGATCATTCAGAGGATGGAGTGTTGGAGGAGACAAGAGAGCTCTTTTTTTGAATCCTTTTTTGTTCTTAGGGCATTCTGTATTCTTCCCCTAAGGATTGTTTTTATCTTGGAGCTGGCTCTTGTTGGTCTGTGGAACTCATTGCCACAGGATGTGGTGATGGCATCTGGCCTAGATGCCTTGAAAAGGGCATAGAACAGATTTCTGGAGGAAAAGTCCATCACAGGTTACAAGCCATGATGGGGATGTATAATCTCCAGGCTTAAAAGGAGGGTACTTCCAAATGCCAGATGCAGGGGAAAGGCATCAGGATACATGTATTTAGTTGTCTCGAGTGCTCCCTGAGGCATCTGGTGGGGCCACTGTGAGATCCAGGAAGCTGGACTAGAGGGGCCCTTGGCCTCATCCAGCAGGGCTCTTCTTATGGTCTTACGTTCTCTTCACTCTGCCCAGAATAATTTAAGAACTTGCTTTCTCCATTGTAATTATGAAAATCTAGGTGCAATAGTGGGTGTGTTTTAAACCCATGCATTCATAGAATAAGAAACTCTGAATTCCCGATCAATTTAAAGCTACATTATTTTTGAGACTAGGTATTACACCAGGGGTGTCCAACCTTTCACCTTCCCTGGGCCACATTAGAAGATGAAAATTTGGTTATGCCGCACATAAATTTGGTTTGGGCTGCATGGGGGGGCAGCCCTAGCCGTCCTCCGCAGCCCCGCTCCAAGCGCGCTTACCGGCAGCTGCAATCTCAGACAGCAGAGGCTGCCAGCTTTGACTCCGATGGCTTTATGGGGCCAGGAGGGGATGCCGCTATTGACGGGGATGGTGCAATGCAGTCATGCCAGATGCAGGGGAAAGGCATCAGGATACATGTATTTAGTTGTCTCGAGTGCTCCCTGAGGCATCTGGTGGGGCCACTGTGAGATCCAGGAAGCTGGACTAGAGGGGCCCTTGGCCTCATCCAGCAGGGCTCTTCTTATGGTCTTACGTTCTCTTCACTCTGCCCAGAAGAATTTAAGAACTTGCTTTCTCCATTGTAATTATGAAAATCTAGGTGCAATAGTGGGTGTTTTTTAAACCCATGCATTCATAGAACAAGAAACTCTGAATTCCCGATCAATTTAAAGCTACATTATTTTTGAGACTAGGTATTACACACTTTGGATCTCTTAGTCATGTTCACAGTTCTGGAGAGAAGTAAAATGCCATACATTGGAGATACATTGGCAGAAGAGATTTTTCACCACATCTATTTAAATGCTTATCCCTTCCTGCATTTTCCCCCCTGTACTGATCAGTTTTATAGAGACAGAATCCAAACCACGTGTGTCTGTGTAAGCTCTGCAGTTGTATGAAGGCTGACAGTTCTAGAAGCTCTGATCTTTCTTAAGCACTTTTTTTGGTGCTGTTGGCCTTATTTTGGCTAAAGTGAAAGAAATGGTAACACAACAAATCTTGAAGTGGGAAGACAGTAGTTTTAATAATACTGCATATGGAAGCTAGTGGAATAACACAGATGTTTTGCTATGCTAGTGGACCAGCTGCAGGACCTGATGTTATTCAGCTACAAGTTGCACAACTGGTAGCACAGTAGTTAGTGCAAGCAACATCTGCCTAATGTAGGTGTAAAGAGTGGTGGAATTCTTTGTGCCAGTGGCATCCAATATTGAATTTCTGCAACACAAACACGGGTCTTTTATATATTTGCTCTCTTTTGGCTCTCTTGCTCTGTTTTCAGGCCAAAGAGGAGAGCTGCCCCCCACCACCAAAAAAACAAACAAACCAGAATTGACTTCGGGTCACATACACACTAAAATAAATTGGGTGAGACAAAGCCAGGCAAAATTGCCATCCAACACCCAAGAGGGGAGCCTTTAATTATACGATTTAAAAAACATTGGAGGTTGCAGCTGGGGGGCACGTTTGTGTTCCTGTGTCTCCTGTAACGACTTTGCTCAGTCCTGCTCTACATGCTTCATTAAATGTCACACAATTAAGTCCTTCTATCCCTCCAGACATTGCTGGACTCCAAGTCATGATTTCTGACCTTTGACCATTTTAACTGGAGCTGGTGAGAGTTCGCCTCTAACAAGATCTAGAGAGCCATTGTTCCCTGTCTTTAGTGTAGACAGCATTGGCAAGACTGACCAATCAGCTGATACAAGATAAAGTAGCTTCTTATTGTCTGTCATGGTTATGGCAACAGAAGGCAGTCAGGAGTTAACAACATTTCTCCTTAAATCTTTTTGAAGTTATAAAACTACAATACCTACTATTTGTTGGTTGTTGTGGGTTTTTCGGGCACTTTGGCCGTGTTCTGAAGGTTGTTCTTCCTAACGTTTTGCCAATCTCTGTGGCCGGCATCTTCAGAGGACAGCACTCTTCAGAGGACAGCA